TTTCTATCATTTTATTTAGAAAATAAAATAAAAGTAAAATAAAATACTATAAATCTTTGGTTTCGAACTGAGACCAGCTGAGGAGAAAGAGCTAGTATACAGACCTTGGCCATGAACTTAACGTATGTAAGATAAGAACGGCAAGGGAATTAACGGGCTACCCAAACGAGCACCAATTCATCACATGTTAATTGTTAATAAATCGTGTCTCACCTGTGTATCCGTGAACGTAAAAATGTTCAACTGTCTATAAAGTTACTGTTGGTAAAATATTATATATAAACTAAACAATGTTAATTTTCTGACATTATTATTATAATGTTTTCGCCACTCTCATTTACCTTCTACAACTTTCTGCATTAGATATTGTTTTTTCCAAAATTCTTCGCTTTCCAACGATATATTATAGATATACTTTCTGACTGGTATTTCCGGAGATTCATTTTCAACCTGGATAAACATTTTTATTTTTTTCTCCTCTAATCAATTATTAAATTCTTTCAAAAGTTATATTTAGCATTTTTTCGAAACTCTGAATCACTTGAGATGATTAATTTTTTTAAATAAACCATATTAAAGGTACTTTAGAGGAAGACGCATATGAACATTAGGCATTTAAGCCCTGTAAAGTGACATCGGGATAAGACTAAATTACTACCGGAGATAAGACCTAAATAGTATTAAAGACCATTTAATTATACTATGATATACCGTGTTTAATCAAAATCGTTTGAGCCGTTTTTGAGGAAATTGTTAAAATGTTTTTCAGCGTTCATATAAAGTGGCACTTCCGGTTAGCCGATTTTAAGGGAAAAGTTGCTGTCACATCTAAGGCATATACCTATCTTAAATATGTAATATCAGTTTCGTAGGACTTTTCGTTTTTGAGCTAGGCTGCTAACATACAAACACACAGACCATTTTTCGGGACTTGGTCATTTTGACTCTGGGTACCTCAAAACGTGTATTTCGGTTGAAAACTCAGATTCAAAAATTGTCTCGATCGCAATACTTACCCATACTATATATTACATATTGTAATGTCAACATTACATGGTATATAAATAGTGGCGCGAAAGTGGCAAGAACATGAACTACAGGAAAGGAGTGGGGGAAGCAAGCTCATGTGACAGAGACTGCGACGGGCCGCCAAGAGGGAAGGTGCTAGCGGCTAAGAGAGAAGATCATGAGCCGTCAAGAGAAGATGTGACAAGCTGTCAAGAGGGAAGCCAGCAAGCTGAGAGAATAGAAGCAGCCACAAAGTTTAGACTGGGACAGTAAAGGTTTTTAAATGTATAATTTCTTATTGTATGTATCTCGTTTCTTATATGTATTTATTAATTTGTAAATTATAGTTATTAAATGTTGAATGAGTGTTCAGTTGTCAGAACCCAACTTGAGATGTATATTATGTGTTAAAATAAATAAGATATTCAAAAGGAAACTCGTTTGTTTGTTTTTGTTCCTTTTGAAAACGTAACAATATATACGTAAGTGAAAGTAATAAATATGTCCATAGATGTATACGTTCTAAATAGTGAATATTATTGGTTTGTTTTTCTTTTTAAAAAGCACTGTTTTAACTCTATTTTGTTCATTGGCCTTGTTTAATTTCAATATAACGGCCAGAGCCGTTATTGACAATCGCAGGCCGATAGATATAGCGACCGTTGTACAATGGTGCAAAACAACTTATTTTCGGAATAAACTTGGCCCACCTTAGACATATCACTTCAAAAGAAATTCTTCATTCTAAAAAATTTTATTTTTAAATTTGAAACGCTATGAAAATTCTAAATTAATATATTTTTCAACTGCTGCAAATTTGATAGAACCACCACCATATACTTCCCGAGGTACATTACAACTAAATAAGAAGATTAAAAATGTGTGATTCACAGGTTGTTTACAATCTGTTTTCGTGCCCTTGTTTGATTTTGGATTCGGATTGTTTTCCAATAAAGCAACGATGAGTGAGTGTGATCAAGATGAAGGGATGAACGAGCCAAGAAGATCTAAGAAAAGACAGAAGACTGGAAGTGTAGCTGATGTGATGAAGAGAATGCGCCAACAATATCACGAGTTGGGTCCAGATTGTCAATGCCAACCTCACAAATGCCCCCAGAATACTACATGTGAGGAAAGCGAAATACTAGTTTAAGATTCTTCTAGAGGATTGTGAAGTGATTTTAAATATTCGTTAGTATTTTCGAGTAAAATCTGACTTAACGCTGTTGCAGACTTGTAGCTCCCTTCTTCTCCTTTCTCTTCCATCGGTTTCTTGCATCCCTGTTCCCGAGTTACGGAATGGACTTAATCCGTAACAAATAATAATAATAATAATAATGATATTAATTTAACTTTTATTTTGTTAAATATCCCAATTGGTGAATCATGTGTTATCTTTTAGTTTCTTACATAAAAGCACAATGCCCCTGGATAGCTAGGTCAAGCTATCTCTGATAGCTTAGAAATAGCTATCTAGAATGTACTGACGGGACAGAAGAAACCATTATCAAGAGGGAACAATAACCGATTTTAGCCAAGGGCACTTTCACACAGACATCTTAAGAATATTAACTATTGATAACTTCCTTTGCTGTCCTCTTTCGACTTCTCCCACACTTCCCTTCACCCCCCTACTATTCTTGGGTATATTATCCCCATGCTCCTCAGACCATACCACTCATGCAGTTGCATTCTTGAAGTCATACTCTTAACTGTAGGAGACCTGGAGTGAGCTCGTGTAGTCAACCTATTATATTCTTAACATATAAATCAAAATAAATGTTTTAATTCATTTATTAACTCAACTAACAACTTCTTTACATACTAACTAATAATAACATATGTTCTTTTTCGACCATATGATTTAGACAATTAAATTGCAATAGAAAATATGAACTAATTTCAACCCATTATCCATAGTATATTACTCTGAATTTTAGATGCCATTTGTAACATTATGAATAAAACCATTACTTATAAAGTCTTCACTGCCTCCGATTCGTTAACTCCGGAAAGGTTCCTCATCTCTTCCAGGGTCTTCCCTCTTCCTCTTCCAATTCGTTCCAGATGGCTAGTATTATGTGGTTCTTGGTCGCTCTTTTGGCCTTTCCATTACGGGGCGTATCTTTCCTCCTGCTTGATCCTGTCATTTAGGACACAGTCTTTCCGCGTTTTTCCCACACTTCTTCTAAGAAACTTCATCTTTTCAAACTTGTAACTCCCGACCGTGGTTATTATAATATTGACTGTTAACTTATTTCACAAGAAAAATCTGTTTTCGTCGCTTTTTCACCAAAAAGTCATAATCTATGCATCTCTCGAAGAAATTCATCGTAATCAATTTGAAAAGAGCATTACATTTTCTATGTACCTCATGTAGACACGTTAGTATTTGAAAAGATTAAGCGGCTGTTAAAGGGCAAGAAATCGAAGGTGTATTTCACTCGCAGCTTATGCGTTTTTTATCTTTTCAATGTTTTTTATTCGTCTAATTTAACTTTATTTATAACAAACCTAAAATGTATTAAGAAGTTACCTTATTTTAAGCATTCTGTAAGTATGAGAGACATAAAAATTCATAATAATCAAAACCCATAGAATCCAAATGCGCTCTATAAGTCCCTAAAAGCCTTTGAAGTCCGAGCGCTCTAACGGCTCTTCAAATTTTCGTATATTAACGATTATACTCGAGCTCAATAAAAAATTTGATGCACTTTCAATTAATTCAAGCTTATGTAGAGGAATTTCTATAGTTTTTATAAAATAATTATTCTCTATACTAAAGTGCAAAGAGATCTAGTTTACAAAAATAGCAGAGGAGAGGATCTCAAAAGGGTGTCACTCCAGGACTCAAAGCCGAGCAGAATTTCCCTTCTGGCTTTGTTTCGCGTATCTGTCTAAAATAATGAGTTATTATTATGTTTTGTGTTATATTTTTCTGTTAAAAATAACAAAATATACAATGGGCTAAAAATTATGAAATATTTGAGTTGTTTATTTCCAAAGTGAACCATAATTAATGTTTTTGCAAATCAATTCGGATGTAAAAAACAACATCCATAATACATCTGATGGTGCAATAATTTTTATTGAAAACCAACCTCGGATTTCTTAAGTATTCGTAAAAAACTAATTTAACTGTGTTATTATAATGAAAGTTAAAAATAAATAAATTTTATTGTAGCGTTATTATAAAAAGTTGTTAATTATGTCAATTATAAAAAGAAAAAAGTTAATAAAGAACTTTCTAATTTTTTTTTGTAAAATCGTCAAACATGAATAGGTTTCACTTTGAAAATAAACATCTTATTTAATTTCAACTTTAAGATAAAAGATTATAAAAATATCACAATTATATACACTTTTGGTAAATAAAAAATAAAAATATAGGAAACTCCTTTCCAAGTTATAGGGCCATTTATAGTAATTCGTCTCAGTTTTTGACAATTAGATAAAAATCAGCGTTGGTTGGCCATAGTTTTATACCTTACCACGTAACCAAGTTAGAAAGTGTATGTACTCGTTTGATGAAAAATTTAACCATCTTTAATTTATTAAAGTATAAATTTTTCGCTTTGATGCATCGTTTAGGAGTTAAAGGTGAAAAAAACAATAAGTATCGAAAGACTTTTTTATCTGTGATAAGTTTTCCCTTGGTGGCCCGCGTTATCAATTTTGTTTTTTACATGCCCAAAACCATATATACAAGTTAAAAGAATAAATTCTTATCTTACATTTTTCGCAATGGATTTCCCGTTTCGATCCTCAAATTATTGGCCTAATATTCTTTAAACCAGCCGTCATTTTTGAAAGCAGCGGTTCAGCGGTTTCACTTTGAAAATAAGACCTTATTTAATTTCAACTTTAAGATAAAAGTTTATAAAAATATCACAATTATATACACTTTTGATAAATAAAAAATATGAAATGTTTAATTTTATTATATTAAATTTATTAAAAAAATCTTAAATTATAATATTATCATTTTATAGGTGCTAAAAACTCCCTAAACAAGATATATCAGCTGCAAGAAAAGGCGGATTTTAAAATTCCTGCAATATCTCTTATTGATAACAAAACTTATAAATGTTTTCATTGTGAATTTAAAACGAAAAAGAAAATTGATTTGAAAATTCACATTAAATCTCAACATAAGAAACGAAAACTAACGCATATAGTGACCCTTCGCACTGGTGAGAACCTTCAACATTGTCCTCATTGCGATTATAAAGTAGTAAGCAAACGTAATTTAAAATTACATATAATGGCCCGTCATGCAGATGAGAAGGCCCATCATTGCTCTAATTGTAAATATAAAACAGTATACAAATGTAATTTAAAATCACACATAATGGCCCGTCATACAGATCAGAAGCCTTATCATTGTCCTCATTGTGAATATAAAGCAGTAAGAAAACTTACTTTAAAATCACACATAATGGCTCGCCATACAGATGAGAAGCCTCATCATTGTCCTCATTGTGAATATAAAACAGTTCAAAAAAGTAATTTACAATCACACATGACTCATCATACAGATGAGAAGCCTCATCGTTGTCCTCATTGCGAATATAAAGCAGTAACCAAATATTATTTAAAATCACATATAATGGCCCGTCATACAGATGAGAAACCTCATCAATGCCTTCATTGTGAATATAAAACAGTAAAAAAAAGTAATTTAAAATCACACATGACTCGTCATACAGATGAGAAGCCTCATACTTGCCCTCATTGTAAATATAAAACAGTAACAAGCAATACTCTAAAATATCACATAATGGTGCGACATTTTGATAAGAAGGCTTATGGTTGTCCTCATTGTGAATATAAAACAGTAACAAATTGTGATTTAAAAATTCACATAATGGCTCGTCATACAGATCTGAAGGATTATCATTGTCCTCATTGTGAATATAAAACCGTAAACAAACTTACTTTAAAATCACACATAATGGCCCGTCATACGGATTAGAAATCTTTTCATTGTGCATATGAAGCAGTAACCAGAAGTAATTTAAAATCACATATAATTGTTTTTCATACAGATGAGAAGTCACTTTACTGTGGCTAAAAAACAGAAATATTCCAATTTTCGAAAAGGCATGTAATGTTCAATTATAAATATGAGAAGCTTCAAAAATATCTTCATTGACTTAAAAAATAAAACATTGACAATAGACAATTTAAAATCACATATATTGCACCATCATAGGGATAAGAAGTCTAATTGAATTTATAACCGCTACAATTAGTTCAAACAGTCATACGAAGTTCCTGTAGAGGAACAGATAATCATAACTAGTGTGAATGCATTATGTTTAATTAGTAGAATATTTTTGTGATATGTTGTATTTATGGAATTGCTTGCTTTGTAACTATGAGAAAACAAATTTTATTCTAAGAGCATGTATGTCCCTTAAGAATGTATATATATATATATATATATATAGAATTTCTATTGAAGAAAAATAATACTATCTGCCACAGTCTATGGCATTCAGCTTTGTGGCTCTATGTTCACATTCGTACATTTTATATACAATTTTAAATATAAACTGAGAACAAAAATAAAATAAGATGAAATAAGTATGTAAAAATATATACATTAAAATAAACGAATACTAACGAAAGAAAAAAAATATTTGACACACATTCATTCCTATGGCCAATATTTACATTCAGCCTAGGGAACTCTGAACCGTGCCTTGCCGCTCTCACGTGAAAGGCAACGCAGGGCTCAAGCAGATCCCAGCGCTTCTCTCCCAGCCGCATTACTGTTTAAAAGCCAGTGGAGACAGAGTAAGAGTGCTAAATCCATCCTTAAGTATATCGGAACAAAAGTTCTTTGTTCCAAACAATTTTCTTTGTTGTTGTTGGCAATCCCTCCATCAGGTACAGTAGAACCATAACTTACTCGCCCCAAACAGACTTCTTCTTCTGTCAACTCACACTGCTCAGAGGTAGAAGAGGAAACGATTAAGAAGAAGAACTTTATTGAAAGTATGTAAGATTCATAATTTTTCCGGTTAAATTTTTGTATTTGTCTTTTCAGTTCATTTTTAAGTTTGATAAATATCTGTTTGGTTTATACGACGTGAATCTATTTGTCTGCCAATATTTTCTGGCTCTTCTCTTTACTCTGATCATATACCCATGCATTGTGGGTAGCAAGGCAGGTACACTGCTTATTTGATAGTGGATTCTGATGAAGACCAAGAAGCAGCATTCTGTTTTGATTTTGTTAATGTATCTACGGCTATTTCGAGTTCTTCAGTTTTGAGTGATGATCCAATTGATAGATTTGATTGAAGATACTTTCGGTAAAGATCCCAGTCCATGTATCTTCTTATGAGCGAAGGTGTTTTTTCTGCTGCTGAAGACTTCATTGAAGAACTTTATCATTCATCTTTCATGAAGAACTAGGTGTACCAAGGAATTATCAGAGCTCTGAGCTCGATATCGAGAGGGAGGAACAGTATGAAGACTTTTGTTACAAAAAAGTCGAGTAAGTCTGGAAGTTTTATGTACAGAGTTTGGCCAGTCAGAGTATCTGGGTAAATTTTGTCTAATGAAAGTGACATTTTCTTTCTAACACATTTTCTATCTAACACGTGACGAGTGACATTTTCTTTCTAAAAATATAAAAATTATATAGAGTTTTGATAAATAAAAGAAAAGATGTTATGAAATGTTTAATTTTATTATAAAATTAATTTAAAAAATAATATTTCCTCGATTGGTCTCATATCGAGGCTCGCTCTAATGGTAGCCTCTATGGTCTTACCATCGACCTTCATAAGGTATCTCATTTCCATTTCTTGAATCTGACTCCTGTTGTGAAGGTCCAAGATTCGCTTGCATTAGTGATAATCGGAAGAAATGTGTTTCTGTATACTACTTTCTTGGTATGATTTGATTTTTCTTTCTTTCCGAGGGATCCAATCTTCAGGGATTTGAAGCATCTTCCCGTTGTTCTTATCATCTCTTTTATCTCACCATCGGGTGCGGTGAGGGTGTACAGAATGTGGAACATATCCTACAAACGTGCATGACCTCCTCCCAGCAAAGGAAGGTCATCTGGCCCTCTCCAATTGAAGTGTAAAGGAAACTATATGGAAGCCTGGAGGACCTGAGGAGGACTACCGAATTCTTCATTTTAGTTCCTGACCTAGCTATATAAGGAAGGACGCAGAAGAAGAACAAGAAGAATACATATTATTTTAAATGTCTAATAAATTCATTTCTTCATTAAGGAACCTTAATAACTAAAGTCACTATTTACATAATAGTGTAATAGCCATGTAATAGCCACTAGCAGATCCAGAATTTAATTTTGGGGGAGCTTCAGCCCGAATATTTTTTTTTTCTTCATAAAAATGACGATATTTACTTTGGAAAAAAAGTAAGTAACTAGCTATCTATATGAAATGGTGTTTAAGTGATTCCTTAAGTCCTTTAAAATGTAATTACACGAACAATAATACTTTAAGAGATAATTTTTTAATATTGTTTTCCATAAAACATGGTTATATTTTACCATTTTGGGAGGGCTTTAACCCGAAAGCCCCCTCCCCCCGCCCCCCGTAGATCCACCCCTGGTAATAGCCTATTATAGCAATGAACAAGATATTTTTATGTAATATATAATGATATTACAGGGCGGCAACCGACCTGGAACATATGGAAAATTCAGGGAATTTTCAAAACAGGGAGAAGTCAGGAAAAATTGTCAAAAGTCACGGAATTTTTTTAGTTCAAAAATATTTTTTCAAATTGGAATTAATATACAGTGGATATCATTTATAACGACCTTAAGGGACCTGGTGAACTTCTTTGTTATAAACGTATAATTGCTAGAAGATGACACACAGTGATTCAGAAGTGGGGAGGAAAAAATGAATGTGTTCTAATCACACTTTTTGTACTGTATTATCACTCCTTAGCATCCCCAGAACCTACTACAATAACTATTATCTCAAGTTCTCCCTAAAACACAGATTAATGAGCAATTTCCAGTGGTTTTACACATATTTTGAATAAATATTTTCAGGTCTTGATAAGAGAGAAGTTAGTTGATTGGTTTTCATTGTTATAACTATGTAAAAATCTCAGCAAAATCTGGTGTGCGCAACACACAACTTGGAATAGAAATTATTTTCAGACAATGCTTTGCTATTATAAACATTTTGAAGTGCATTTTAAACGGAGCTAAAGCTTAAAGGTTACAGATAACAAGTCATTAAGACCATTATAACTACAAAAAGTCTATTTATTATATCGAAGGTAGGCAATAAAAATCTAGTCACTCCATCTGCTTTTACAAACCACACAACTTCAGTTTCTGAGCCTTTCAGTTGCATTCTGTCAACTAACTTTAATTTCAACATTTTTGAGTAATGTCATTTTAGTGATATTTGTAGTTGAAAAAGTTATCTATACAGACAGTGAGTAAGTTGATTCCGGAGTAGGTGATTGCAGTGTTGAAATATAGAACTGTGAATTAAGATATATATTTGGCACTAGAAATATCACTAAAATTAATAATAAAGAATTTTGAAATTGGAGTTAGTCATTCTGTCAACCGAAAGGTTATTAATCTGTTATTTTCCATTGTAATAATAATAATAATTATTATTATTATTACAAACTTAACATCAAAGATGATGATATCACAATCAGTCATAGTTGGTATATGGATGACCTCAAACTGTATGCGAAAAATGAACAGCAATTACAGAACATGGTTGAAATAGTATCATCCTTTACCAGTGATATAGGTATGTCATTCGGACTTGATAAATGCGCGGTGCTTCATGTAAAAAAGGGAAGAAAGGTTAATACCCAGAACATCCTGATAAACGAAGAAGACCACATTAAAGAGCTGGAATCACATCAATTATATAAATATTTAGGCATGCAACAAAACCTTATAATTGCCCGAAGGGACTGTTTTCAGAAAGAGATTGCGACAAGTACTCAGAACTCAGTTATCTGGGAAGCACAAAATTAAGGCCATTAACACCTGGGTCATACCAGCTCTGAGCTATAGCTTTGGTATAGTACAGTGGTCCAATACCAGTCTACAGGAGATTGATCGTCTAGTAAGAACGACACTCACACAAGAGAGGTCTCACCATCCAACATCCTCCAAAGCCCGCCTGTATTTATCTAGAAAGGAAGGAGGTCGCGGACTTCTAAATATAAAGGAAGCATGTCGAAAGCAAGAGCTGGCGCTACGACGATATTTTCTTTCAAAAACTACAGGGATTTACCTTACTATAACCAATATGGATTCAGGTCTAACGGCACTCAATTTAAACAAAGCCGAAGATTTCACAGTTGTATCCGAAAATGAAAGACTGTCAGAATAAGGCGCTACATAGCAGATACTACAGCCAATTGAATGAAGCCTCCATAGACAAAGAAAAATCGGTGGAATGGTTAGCGGCAGGAAGGCTATACTCTGAAACAGAAGGCTTTGTAGTCGCCATTCAAGATCAGGTCATTGCCACCAGATCATATAGGAGGCACGTTCATAAAGACACTACAACATCTGATAAATGTCGACTTTGTTCAATGACGTACGAATCAATCCAACATATCACAGCTGGATGTGGAGTACTCGCTGGTACGGAGTATCTGCAGAGGCACAACAATGTGGCGAAAATATTCCACCAGACTCTGGCTGTGAAACTTAACCTGTTGGATGAAAAGGTGCCATATTACAAATATAATCCGATAAGGCTGCTTCAGAAGGGTTCCCTTAAGATGTATTGGGGGAAATCTATAATAACGAATCAGACAGTGCGTCACAACAGACCCGATATCCTTATTATAGATTTAGGAGCAAAGAAGGCAAACTTAATTGATATCGCAATCCGAACGGTAACAATATAAGCACGACCGTGGGAGAGAAGCTCCATAAGTACCAAGAACTGGCGATCGAATTAAAGGAATTGTACCATTTAGAGAGCGTATTAGTTACATCAATAATTATTCAAACAATGATCTGATCCCTAAGTCAACGGTTGCAGGTACAGACGGCTTGGAATTAGCCCTGGATGTGTTAAGAGAGGCTCAGCATGCGGTTCTCTTGGATAGAATAACAAGACAATTTTTAAATATATAAAATATTATAACTGCAGGTGGTTGGACTTGTCCTCCACCTTCAGCTTTAAATCCGCAAAGGCGAGAATAAAAAAGATAATAATAAAAGGCTTAGCGAACCCGAAGGTTCGATGCAGACACCACCAATCGCTCATTACACACCTCCCTCCACAGGTCGCCGTTCAAACCCAGTCCCTTCAGATCGGCTTTAATACAATCTTCCCACCTTCGCTTCGGTCTACCCCTCGGAGGTTAACCATTTGGTACAGCAAATATTAAACTTTTAAGAATTCTCTCGTTACTGAGACCAACAATTTTGCAAGCCCATTCGATTCGCCGCGATGAAATTACCTCAATTATATTACCCGGATACAGTTCACGCCATTCAGCCTTGTGTAACCGTTTGAATCCTCCGGTTAACTCATCGTACTTCTGTCCGAATATTCTACGCAATACTTTATTTTCAAAAACCTTAAGACGCTGCTAATCCCTTAATGTAAGCGGCCAAGTTTCGCATCCATAAAGAACTGTATGTAAGATAATGGTTTTATAGATTCTAATTTTTAAGTTCCGGGACAAGAGGCGCGAGCTAAGTAGTTTTGTCACAGAAAAATAACAAGCATTTCCCGCCTTCAGTCTAACCTTAATCTCTTCTTCAATTTCGTTTTATCTAGTTATCGTAGAAACTAGATACCTAAACTTCTCTACCTGTTCAAACATATGATCATCTATATCGATATCACCAGTAGTATCACCATTTTTGCAGATAACTATATATTTAGTTTTATCCGCGTTTATTTCGAGCCCTAGTTCTTTACCGGCTTTCATTAACATCATATTTAGTTCTATAGTATCCACGTCTTCGCTTAACAGTACCAGATCATCAGCATAGCCCAACACGGATGTTGTCCCACCCAGATCCAACCCTTTCTCGGTACGTATTACCTCTCTAATGGCATGTTCTAATGCCAAATTTAACAGGACAAGCGACAGGGAATCCCCCTGTTTTAAACCCGAACGAACCTCAAATTTTTCTGAATAACTTGAGATTATTAATTTTTTTTTAAAGAAACCATGTTAAAGGTACTTTAGAGGAAGACGCATATGAACATTGGGCATTTAAGCCCTGTAAAATGACATCAGGATAAGACTAAATAACTAACAGGGATAAGACCTAAATAGTATTAGAGACCATTTAATTATACAATGATATACCGTGTTTAATCAAAATAGTTAGAGCCGTTTTTAGAAAATTGTGAACATTTTTTTCAGCGTTGATATATAGTGGCACATCAGGTTAGCCGATTTTAAGGAAAAAGTTGCTGTCAGTTTATCACTTTATTTTTTACACTCATATCAACTAATTTAACTTTATTCATAACAAACATAAAATGTATTAAGAAGTTACCTAGTTTTTATGTACTCTATTAGTATGAGAGACATCAAAATTCATAATAATCAAAAACCTTAGAATCCAAATGCACTCTATAAGTCCCTAAAAGCCTTTAAAGTCAGAGTGCTCTAATGGATTTTCAAATTTTCGTATAGTAACGATAATAGCCGGGCTCAATAAAAATTTTGACGCACTATCAATTAATTCAAGCTTATGTAGAGGGATTTCAATAATTTTTATAAAGTAATTATTCTCTATACTAAAGTGGAAAGAGATCTAGTTCACAAAAAGAGCAGAGGAGAGGATCTCAAAAGGGTGTCGCTCCAGGACTCAAAGCCGAGCAGAATTTCCCTTCTGGCCTTGTTTCGCGTTCCTGTCTAAAATAATGAGTTATTATTATGTTTTGTGTTATATTTTTCTGTTAAAAATAACAAAATATACAATGGTCTAAAAATTATGAAATGTTTGAGTTGTTTATTTCCAAAGTGAACCATAATTAATGTTTTTGCAAATCAATTCGGATGTAAAAAACAACATCCATAATACATCTGATGGTGCAATAATTTTTATTGAAAACCAACCTCGGATTTCTTAAGTATTCGTAAAAAACTAATTTTCCATAACTTTTTTAACTGTGTTATTATAATGAAAGTTAAAAATAAATAAATTTTATTGTAGCGTTATTATAAAAAGTTGTTCATTATGTCAATTACAAAAAGAAACAAGTTAATAAAGAACTTTCTAATTTTTTTTGTTTAATATTGTGTTGAAAATGCCATTATGATAGAAAATATTGTTTTTCGTATTCTATGAAAAATTGTCAAACATGAATAAGTTTCACTTTGAAAATATACATCTTATTTAATTTCAACTTTAAGATAAAAATTTATAAAAATATCACAATTGTATACACTTTCAATAAATATAACATGAAAATATGCAATGTTTAATTTTATAATATTATCATTTTATAGGTGCTAAAAACTCCCTAAACAAGATATATCAGCTGCAAGAAAAGGCGGATTTTAAAATTCCTGCAATATCTCTTATTGATAACAAAACTTATAAATGTTTTCATTGTGAATTTAAAGCGAAAAAGAAAATTGATTTGAAAATTCACATTAAATCTCAACATAAGAAACCAAAACTAACACATATAGTGACACTTCGCACTGGTGAGAAGCCTCAACATTGTCCTCATTGTGAATATAAAACTGTTATGAAAAGTTATTTAAAACAACATATAATGGCCCGTCATACAGATCACAAGCCTCAACATTGTCCTCATTGTAACTACACAGCAATAACGAAATATTATGTAAAATTACATATAATGGCCCGTCATACAGATCAGAAGCCTCATCATTGCTCTCATTGTGAATTTAAAACAGTATACAAATCTTGTTTAAAATCACACATAATGGCCCGTCATACAGATCAAAAGCCTTATCATTGTCCTCATTGTGCACATAAAACGGTAAATAAATCTAGTTTAAAATCACACATAATGGCCCGTCATACACATGAGAAGTCTCATCATTGTCCTCATTGTGAATATAAAACATTAACAAACTATGATTTAAAAATACATGTAATGGCCCGTCATTCAGGTGAGAAACCTTTCCATTGCCATCATTGTAAATATAAAGCACTATTAAAACGTCTTTTAAAATCACACATAATGGCCCATCATACAGATCAGAAGCCTTATCATTGTCCTCATTGTGCACATAAAACGGTAAATAAATCTAGTTTAAAATCACACATAATGGCCCGTCATACAGATCAGAAGCCCTATCATTGTCCTCATTGCAATGGATATAGTGCAGTAACAAAACAAATTTTAAAATCACACATAATGGCTCGTCATACAGATGAGAAACCTCATCATTGCCCTCATTGTGAATATAAAGCAGTTCTAAAAACTAATTTACAGTTACACATAATGTCTCGTCATACAGATGAGAAACGTCATCAGTGTCCTCATTGTGAATATAAAACAATACGAAAAAATAATTTACAGTCACACATAATGTCTTTTCATACAGATGAGAAGCCCTATCATTGTCCTCATTGCAATGAATATAGTGCAGTAACAAAATACATTTTAAAATCACACATAATGGCTCGTCATACAGATGAGAAACCTCATCATTGCCCTCATTGTGAATATAAAACAGTAAAAAAATGTAGTTTACAATCACATATAAGCTCTCGTCATACAGATGAAAAACCTCATCAGTGTCCTCATTGTGAATATAAAACAGTACATAAAAGAAGTTTAAAATCACACATAATGACTCGTCATACAGATGAGAAACCTCATCATTGCCCTCATTGTGAATATAAAACAGTTCAAAAAATTAATTTACAATCACATATAATCTCTCGTCATACAGATGAAAAACCTCATCAGTGTCCTCATTGTGAATTTAAAACAGTACATAAAAGTAGTTTAAAATCACACATAATTTCTCGTCATAACAGATGAGAAGCCTCATTCTTGCCCTGTAATTATAAAACAGTAACAAAAAATACCCTAAAATATCACATAATGGTCCGACATTCAGATAAGAAGCCTTATGGTTGTTCTTATTGCGAATATAAAATATTAACAAAGTGTGATTTAAAAATTCATATAATGGCCCAATTATATGAAATCTTTTCATTTTGAATATGAAGCAGTAACCAGAAGAAATTTAAAATCACATGTAATTGTTTTTCATACAGATGAGAAGCCACTTTATTGTGGCTATAAAATATCAATATTAGAATTTTTGAAAAGGCATGTAATGTTCAATTATAAACATGATAAGCTTCAAAAATATCTTCATTGCAACTATAAAACATTTACAATAGGCAATTTAAAATGGCATATAATGCACCATCATAGTGATAAGAAGTCTAATTGAATTTATAACCGCTACAATTAGTTCAAACAGCCATACGAAGTTCCTGTTGAATAGAAGATAATCATAACTAGTGTGAATGCATTATGTTTAATTTGTAGAATATTTTTGTGATATGTTGTATTTATAAAATTGCTTGCTATGTAACTATGAAAAAACAAATTTTATTCTAAGACCATGTTTGTCCCTTAATAATGTGTATATATATAGAATTTTTATTGAAGAAAAATAATACAATCTGCCACAATCTAGGGCATTGAGTATTGTGGCTCTATGTTTACATTTTAAATACAATTTAAAATATAAATTGAGAACAAAAATAAAATAAGATCATATATGTAAGTAAATATATATATATATTAAAATAAAAGAAAAAAAACTTGTAAAAAGGAAGAAAAAAAAACATTAAAAGAATAGTTAAAAAAGAAAAAAAAATACTTGATTCACATTTATTCCTATGCCCAAGATATACATTCAACCTAGGCAACTCTGAACCATGCCATGCCGCCCTCACGTGAAAGGCAAGGCAGGGCTCAAGCAGATCCCAGCGCTTCTCTACCAGCCTCATTACTATTTAAAAGCCAGTAGAGACTGAGTAAGAGCGCTAAATCCATCCTTAAGAATTAGAGGGACAGAAAGTATATCGGAACAAAAGTTCTATTTAAGTAAAAAAACAAAAAATACATATTATTTATCATAAATACATATTATTTTAAATGTCTAATAAGTACAGTGCAGAGCAGAGGCTTGGTCCCTACCAATGTGGATTTAGACAGGGAAGATCTACGACAGACCAAATATTCTGCCTCTGAACAATCCTAGAGAGAGGAAACGAACATCAGATTAAAACCCACCATGTTTTCGTTGACTTTAAGGCAGCTTACGATAACATTAATCGGGAAGAACTGTACAAGGCACTAGAAGGTTTCAATATCCCAGATAAGCTAATATGACTGGAGAAGCTGACCAAGAAGGATGTAAAGTGCACTGTGCAGGTTGGTGGTCTAAGGACAGAAGAGTTCTCCTCAACGAAAGGACTTCGTCAAGGTGATGCGTTCGCATGCCTTCTGTTTAAATTGGCACTTGAGAGGACAGTTAGGGATTCTGATCTGCAAGCTGATGGGACGATTTACAACCGGATGCTTCAGCTATTAGCCTATGCGGATGATGTGGATATCGTGGGGTGGTCGTTGCAATCTGTCAGAGAGGGATTTTTAGCTTTGTTGGAGGCCGCCAGAGCACTTGGGTTAGAAGTGAATGAAGGCAAAACTAAATATATGGCCACAGGAGAAGTTCCTCGACCAGGCGAGACCTTCAATATTGGCCCCTTTAATTTTGAGAAAGTAGCGCAGTTTAAGTATTTGGGGTCACTGAGAGGACACAAGACAATGCACCCGAGTTCGAGGTCTAGAAAAGAATATTTATGGCTAACCAATGTTACTTTGCCCTTTCCAAGGAATTCACCTCTCGCCTTTTATCCCGGCATCACAAGCTACATCTCTATAACACACTAATCCGTCCAGTCCTGCTCTATGCTTCAGAAACATGGACGACGACTAAAAAAATTGAGAAAGACCTCCTAATCTTTGAGAGAAAAATTATTCGAAGAATATTTGGAGGAGTGCAGAAAGATGAAAATTGGAGAAGACGGAAAATGCCGAGATTTGCTCAACTTTTAATGATCAGGATGTCGTTCTGAGGATGAAGCTCGGAAGATCGAGATGGGCTGGTCATGTAGTAAGGATGGAGAATGAAGCAATCCCTAGAGGATGATCCTGATAGAACCTTTCTACGGCACAAGAAGAAGAGGGAGACCAAAGCTAAGATGGTTAGATGGTGCTGCAAGAGATTCAAGGATGTCCTGGGAGTCAGGAGCTGGATAATGGCCGCACAGAACAGAGATGACTGGAGGAAGCTGGTGGAAGAGGACAAGACTCGTCACCGAGTTGTAGTAGTTGTAGTTGCAGTGATAATAATAATAATAACTACAGTAGCGGAGGTATAAATCTTCCCCGTGAAGTAATGGTAGAGCTGGCCTGAGGCAGTCCCTCCATCAGGCACAGTAGAACCATAACTTACTCGCCCGAAACTTATTTTATGAAACGGACTTCTTCTTCTTCTGTCAACTCACACTGCTCAGCGGTAGAAGAGGAAACGATTAAGAAGAAGAGCTTTATCGGAAGAATATAAGATTCATAATTGGTCCGGTTAAATTTTCTTATTTGTCTTTTCAGTTCATAAGACTTATCGGTGTATACGACGAGAACCTATTTGTCTGCCAATATTTTCGGGCTCTTCTCTTTATTCTGATCATATACCTCATGCATTGTGGGTAGCAAGGCAGGTACACCGCTTCTTTGATAGTGGATTCTGATGAAGACCAAGAAGCAGCATTCTGTTTTGATTTTGTTAATGTATCTACGGCTATTTCGAGTTCTTCAGTTGTGAGTGATAACCGAATTGATAGATTGGATTGAAGATACATTCGGTAAAGATCCCAGTCCATGTATCTTATGAGCGAAGGTGTTTTTTTCTGCTGCTGAAGACTCGTCATGAAGAACTAGGTGTACCAAGGAATGATCAGAGCTCGGCGCTCGATTCTACGGGTGAGGAATTGTATGAAGTTATTTTGTTACAAAAAAGTCGAATAAGACGGGAGTTTAATGTACAGAGTTTGGCCAGTCAGAGTATCTGGGTAAATTGTGTCTAATGAAAGATCTTGGAAGGGACGCGATATAGATTTCTACCTCTTGGGATGAAGAGTCTTCAACTCCACCTGTGGTCCTTGGCGTTGAAATCACCTCCAGGGATAGTGCATCTTCTTAAGAGAATGAAAACATTGCAGCTGTGATAATGTACTTTGGAGGGCAATACATATTAGCAAAAGTGATAGGGTGGTGATGTTTTGTGTAAAGTGTTATGTCTGGGGCCTATTTCATAATAAAGTTAATAGTCTTAGTAAAAAGTACAAGTGTACAAAATTAAGAAGTACAAGTACTAATAATTTTTATTTTATGGATTGATAAGAAATAAAATCAAATCAATAAGCGGCTAGGTTATTTTTAGAGATATTAGTTTTGAGAAGATTAATTTAAAAACAGGCTCAATCCATTGAACAAGTTTGTGTTCTCTACTACCGTTTAAAACAAAGAAAAATCTATCCGGATGTCATGATAACATAGTACATAACTACAAAATTCAAGTTTTTTAAAAATTATTTTAATGGAATTTACAACTGTATTACATAGAAAATACAATAAGTAAATGTGAAATTGGTAACATGACATGTACAACATGAAGAGAAACTACCCATTGGTAGCACTCCAATTATATTTCTATATTAGAAGGTCCCAAGGCCATCTTCTTTTCAGATGCCTCGGAGGGTTATCATGGATCGAGGAGGAAGCAAGGTTTGAAACGAGAGGATTCGGATGGTTCTGCAGTTTGTTATGGAAGGACAGGTATCTGGATTGGGCCAAATCGGAAACATATGGAACATTAAGGTCTTTATGGATGATTTTATTTGTGACAAAGTAAGGAGCGTTGAGGATTTTACGAAGGATTTCGGATTGTAAGGATTGGATACGAGAGGAATTCGATGGTTTCAAAATTCAAGTTAAAAGTACAAGTTACACTGTTTCATAAACATGGTTTATATTACAAATCATATGATTTTACTAATATTTTCTTAGGCTTTTAGTACAAATCTAAGTTCACTTGTAATATCGAAATATTAAAAATAGTTTTATCGTGAAATATTAAGTGACTGTTTTTTACAACTGATGAGGGACATCTTAATGAATGTGTCAGTCAGACAAACCATTATTCCTCGAAGAAAAACATTCAGAATTAGAAATAACTTTTGTTTAAATGTGAAATAAGAACATTTTCTAATGCCGTCCCCCAAGCCCGAGACAATGATTAAAATAACACGAAGGCTGGAAAAAAAGAAAAAAAAAAACAGCACTTTCGGCATAGTACTGCATATGTCCCTAAGTTGGCCTGAAAATAGGAACAAATATTGTGAGGCATTGGCGAATCGATTGGTGATGGGGAGGGGAGAACTTTTGGTCTGAAGCCCCGTCAAAAATGAAATATTATTTTTGTGGAAGGAGTTTGCTGATTCCTCCTCCCAAAATGAAATAAATAATTTTGTTGGAAAAAGAATCCCCTTCTCCCAAAAATTAAAAAAAAAAATCTGGTGCGCGCAACACACAACTTTCATTTAATGATCAACTTTGAATAGAAATTATTTTCTGGCAATGCTGGAGATAAAGCTTAAAACTTACAGATAACAAGTCATTAAGACCATTATAATTACAAAATGTCTTATTTAATATATCGACGACAGACAATAAAAATCTAGTCACTCCATCTGCTTTTATAAACCACACAACTTTCTTTGCTTTTATAAACCACAGAATGACTAACTCCAACTTCAACATTTTTGAGTGTTGTCATTTAGTTAGTGATATTTTTAGTTAAAAAAGTTATCTATGCAGACAATGAGCAAGTTGATTCCAGAGGTGGTGATTGCAGTGTTGAAATATAGAACTGATAATAAAGGTATAAATTTAGGTACTTATTTCTTATGAAAGATATTCTTAGGAAAGACACTTTATTAAATATCTGTAGAAAAAAGATTTTTTTAGTCTCAACAATTAAAAAAATATATTTTAAATTTATCCAAATTTTCGCCTCTTCAGAGAAAAAAACCTTCTAAAAAACCATTACAATGTCGTCCAAAAAGCGTATACTTTTTGAGTTATTCGGAATTTAATTTTAACATCCCTCGTAACTTTTTTTCCAGCTTCTTTTCGTTGAAGTATGTTATATAGATAAATTTAAAGGGTATCGAGAAAATGACTTTAGTGAAGTTTCATTGAAATCGGTACATTCGTTTCGGCGCTACAGTCTATAGCAACGCAGGTTTTTCTGCATTTTTATTTATTTTTCTCCTTTATTAACTTATCAAATTCTTTCAAAAGTTATATGTAGCATTTTCTCGTAACTCTGAATAATGCGAAATGATTAACTTTTTAAAATAAACCATATTAAAGGTACTTTAGAGGAAGACATATATATGAGCAATGGGCATTTAAGCCCTGTAAAGTGACACCAACGGGGATAAGACCTAAATGATATTAAAGACCATTTAATTATACAATGATATACCAAGTTTGATCAAAATCGTTAGAGCCGTTTTCAAGAAAATTGTAAAAATGTGTTTCAGCGTTCATATAAAGTGGCACTTCCGGTTAGCCGATTTTAACGAAAACGTTCCTGTCAGTTTATCACTTTATTTTTTACACACACACACACACCCACCATTTTGCGACACTTGGTTATTTGAACTCAGGGGACCTCAAAACATGTATTTCCATTGAAAATTGAGATTTGTAAATTTTCACGATCGCAATACTTACCCTTACTATATATTACATATATACGTAAGTGAAAGCAAAATTTCCATTGGCCCGTTTGTGCTAAGTGTTCTAAGCGAAACTCTGATTTATTCTAAAATGAAAAAAAAAGGGTATTTTGCTGTTTCCAGTTGTTTTTTTTAACAAAAAAGTCTCTCCTGAAGAAGTTAAAACATGGAACCGATCGAAACCTAGTTGACAAAAAAGAACGAGATCTGGTTATCATAAGATTCAAATTTAAAGTTGTACGTGTTTGAGAGGCCCCCTCATGAATTCAACAGAAAATAAACGAACGGGAAAATAAAATTTAATAATATAATATAATAATAATAATAATAATAAAAGGCTTAGCGAGCCCGAAGGTTCGATGCCGACACCACCAATCGCTTATTACACACCTCCCTCCACCGTTCGCCGTCCAAACCCAGTCCCTTCAGATCGGCTTTAATGCAATCTTTCCACCTTCGCTTCGGTCTACCCCTCGGACGCTTACTATTCGGCACAGCAAATATTAGCCTTTAAGGAACTCTCTCGTTACTAAGCCCAACAACTTTACAAGCCCATATGATTCGCCGCGATGAAATTACCTCAATTATATTGCCCGGATACAGTTCACGCAATTCGGCGTTGTGTAACCGTCTGAACTCTCCGGTTAACTCATCCTTCTTCGGTCCGAATATTCTACGCAATACTTTATTTTCAAAAACCTTAAGACGCTGCTCATCCCTTAATGTGAGCGGCCAAGTTTCGCATCCATAAAGGACTGTAGGCAAGATAATTGTTTTATAGATTCTAATTTTTATGTTCCGGGAAAAGAGACGCGAACTAAGTAGTTTCGTCACAGAAAAATAACAAGCATTTCCCGCCTTCAGTTTAACCTTAATCTCTTCTTCAATTTTGTGTTTTCGAAAATAAAGTTTAAAGAATATTTAATTAGAATGATCAAATATCAAATCTTCTTTCATTTCTTTCTAATTATGAGATTAAATAAATTATGGCCTAACCTATCATTTTATTTCTTAAGCACTTTACATTTTTATTCATATTTATCATGCATTAATTGGCATTTAATGCATTTGGCATGCATAGCTAACTGGAGTCATAGGCGGATCTACTGAGGAGGGGGAGGGGAAAGAGAGAAGAGGTGGCTGAAGCCCCTTCCCCCCTCCCTCCAAAATGGTAAAATATAATCATGTATTACGAAATAAATATAAAAAACCTGCCCCCTTAAAGTATTATTGTTCTTGTAATTACATTAATAGGAATTCAAGAATCACTTAAACACCGTCGTTTCAATTAGTAATTAGTTAGTTTCTTTCTTTTTCTCCCAAAGTAGTAATAATTATTTACAAAAATATAATTTCGGGCTGAAGCCCCCTCCCCAATTTAATTCTGGATCCGCTAATGACTGTAATGGTGGATAAAGATATTCATGTCACCAAGTTGTCACCGCTGGCACTTCAATGAAAGATATTGAACAATATATCAACTAGAAAGTTATAACCTGTAACTAAGTAACCTGCTCTGATAATGAACTTTCCTTATGAAGGCTTATTTGTACTTTTTCTCTCTTATCTATGGCTTGTACTATTAGTGAGGTAGTTGCCATTATGAAACAAAAAGTATTAGTCCTTTTATTTTGTACGTTTGTAAATATGATCTAACACTCGTTTTATGGAAAAAAGTTATTCAAAATCTAGGTTATGTAAGCCCACTGCTAGGACATATTAAAATGTCCTAAGGACGGTTTTGTTCACTGTAATGAAATACAACTCATAATTTCTATTTGTTTATTCTACTTCTATTTTGTTAAAAAAGAAACAGATCCAAAACAAAATTAAATATAGTAATTACCGATTACATTGTGAAAATGTTTTATTTTTATCGCTAAGATTATTAAACTTATTAAAACACAACCTAATCTTTGAAATAATAATCTATAAAATGTCGTTGAAGTTCGTCAACAGGGTCAAAAATTGAATGAATTTGTCTCAAGAGCAATTAAGTTGGATGTTTATTATTATTTGTTTATCTTAGTTTTCTCATAATAATGTCACACGATCATGAACAGCAATATTCTGATAACAGCAATATTTATCGTATACTTTCAATTTTACAACTTGTAATTTTTACTTTTTGTTATGAAACGAAAAAGTACCAAGTTCAAGGTACTTGACTAATAGTATTAGTTTATACTTTATTATGAAATAAGCTCCTAGTGGCTGTATGTTTGGTGATTATCCAAAGTTTTTTTAACTATGTTATTCAAACGAAAGTTAAAAATAAATAAATTTTATCAACTAGAAAAAGAAAAAAAGAACTTTTTAATTGTTTTTTTTTTAAATATCAGTGTTAATAATACAATAAGAATAGAAAATTTTGTTTTTCGCATTTTATGAAAAATTGTCGTCAAACATGAATAGGTTTCACTTTGAAAATTAATATCTTATTTAATTTCAACTTTAAGATAAAAGGAAGTTTAAAAATGAGTGATATTTTCTATCCAAAAATATAAAAAATTATATAAAGTTTTTATTAATAAAAAAAAGATACTTTGAAATGTTTAATTTTATTATATTAAAAATAATTTTAGAAATTTAAATTATAATATTATCATTTTATAGGTACTAAAGACTCGCTAAA